TCCCCCAGCCAGGTAAGGGGTCCGGATCGGGGCCGGGAAGGAACTGCTGGGCCAGGAGGGGCCAAGTCCCGGGAGCTTCCCGCTTAGAAGGCGGAGGAGCCGGGACTTCTCCAACGCTGGGGCCCCGTGGTGGTGGATCGGGCCCCTTTAAACCATGGTGGAGATAGGACGGGACGTCGGGCGGTGTGTGTGTGTGAGGGGAGAGTTTGCCCTCCCTGCTAGGCGCTCAGAGGCCACCCCGCGCGCTCCGAGAGACGCACCCTCCCGCCTCCGCCGTGATCCAGAGGTGGCGCTTGGCTCCCCCGTCGTGGAAAAAATCAAACCTCCATCTCCAGGAGCAGTGTACCTTACCCTTGGAGGAGCCATGTTGAGAGCCCATAGACGCCTTCTGGGCCGAAGGTCTTTTTCGCTGGCTTTATGGATATAAAGAGTGGATCGGAGTGTGGCAAAAGTTACTTTTTTTGGAGGGGTCAGGACTTCCAGAAGGTCCCGGCCAGCTGCCATGGTCAAGGTTTCTGAAAAGCAGCTTTCACAAGAGATGTCAGAAACCCTTTTGGTAGAAGTCTTCCTGATGCTCCAAGCAGTCCAGATGTGTGTGTGTGTGTTGTGGGGGGATTGATTTTTTCCCCAGCCCCATGGTGTGTGTGTGTGTGTGTGTGTGTGTGTGTGTGTGTGTGTGTGGTTTTTCTGTGCCTGAAAAATTTGGAATTTCCTTCTTTTTTTAAAAAAAAAAACACCAACCAAGCCCAGCTTCGTTCTGACCCAAAGATGCGAAGGGTTCTGTTGGCCTCTTAATCTGTCAGGAGGATCAAAAGAAAAGACACACCAGGAGACCGTTTCTGGATTTTTATTTGTGCCACAAGTAAGGGATCCCGGCTTGTCCCCCGGTCACCGAAGGCGGCGCTGGAAGTGAAAACGGCCCATCAAACGGGCAGCCCACAAAAATGTGCAGGGTTTCTCGCCACAGGGTGGCTGTCGGGACATTTTCGGAGGGGATGGCTCCTTTCCCTTGGGTGGTGTCGAGGCAGAGGGAGGGGGCAGCCGTTCCCGTTACCCCCACACCTCCATGGAGTGGTTTGGAAAGTTTCCACCAGTGACCTGGGCTTGGTTTGGTGCCTTTCTTTCAGGTGGAGTTATCATCTGCTCCCTGCAAAGCAGCGCATCTTCCACGGACAGGCAGGGCTGGAACCGACCCCTTCCAAAAAGATCTGGGAGCAAGCCTCTCTCCCTGCCTTTCCACCGGTTGCTCCCTGCAAAGCAGCGCGTCTTCCACGGACAGGGGGAGCTGGAACCGACTGTGACAAACCCAGACCTACTGGGATATGTCACACAGTTACACTAAGCTGCCACCAACCATTCCCTATAATAAGTCACACAGACCAGGGATGGATTTTTAAACAATAAAAGAATAAGGTTTATTTTAGATACAAACAGGGTAAATAAAACAATCAGGTGAATAAAATAAAGTAACGTGGCTTATTCTCACACACACAAGCATACAGTTTGGTTCACCTAGAACCTTTAACTTAAAGCACAGACCCTGAACCCATCAGTTCTGGCTAACCCACAGACACCTGAACTTATCAGGTTGGTACTCTGACACACAGTAGTACCCTGTCAGACACCCAGACTCCCACAACAGCCTCTTCTTCCCCAGCTGCTGCTTCGTCCCAACCCAGTGTCTCCCAGTCTGTCTCAGCATTCCCTCTCACACACAGGCATCACATATTTATACAGTACAGCCCCTCCTCCTGATGTCCCGCCTTCCACTCCCCATAGGATGGAACTTTCCCTCCAAACCCATGACAGACAGGTAACATCAGTGCTGTTATGTAACACCCTTCTGTCCTCTCCCTGCATTAAGGCAGCATTCTATGCCCATTGAGCTTGCTTACTCCTTAACTGAGCTGTTTCTGATTATGGCTTTCATTCTCAGTCCCTGCCCTCCCCCTTTTGGTTTTTCTGCAAATTTTAGAATTTCCTCATACTGTATATCCCTTCTGATAGATGGCTAGTTATGTTGCGGCTACAGTACATAGAGATCCACATAGAGATCCACATTTGAAAAACACAGTGACAAACACTTATTTATTTAGTTTTAGGAATTTATTTCTTACATATGTACTCTGCCTTTCCACTACAAAGCACTGCTCAAGATTTTTATTCCTAAAGGACTAAAACAAATAAAACCAAATTTAAAACCA